TGATTTGTGTTTGTAATAAAAAAAATAATAAAAGATGCTGCCATATACAGTACCTAAGTTAATTGTTATTAGTTGGTAAGCTTAATTATGGAGAAGTAAATTAAAAATGTGGGTGTAATATATGAATAATTCAAGTTCCCTCTAGTTAAGTGTCCTTTTTTCCTAATATGTTGTGTCCTTTCTGTTAAAATAAATATGATAGATTTGGTTTTCTTGTAGGTTTTATATATAATTTCCTAGGGAATATTCGTCGATATTATAAACGTATATACATATGTTAACCTAGACACGCGAATTATACAACATTTTGGAGATCGTGCAAAGCGAATATTGTGTGTATGTTTACAATACAAAAAAAAAAAATATGATAAAGAATAAAATCGACCGATACAAAAAAAAAAATGGTCAACATACGCTCCACAGATGTGGATGTGTTTCTCTTACTTTTGTTTAACTATACAATATTTTTGTCTCATTTTTGTTTCATTTTTGCCGCGACCAAAAAGATTTTTATTTAATGAAATTTATAAATTTTTTTTAATTTTTTTTAATTTTTTTTAATTTTTTTCCTTTGTACGCATAACTCTTCTTTGCAATTCTTATTAAAATTATGTCAATTCTATTAATACAAATCAAAGATTTGTCTTCATTGATTGGATTGTGAGTAAATCAAATGAGGAAAGTGAAAATAATATGCAATATCTGCTGGGTGTTCAGCGATATTCCAGCGTCGAATTTAACAAAAAAAAAAAAAAAAAAAATGTATTGTAAACGAAATAATAATGTGTAAAATTGGTGTTTTGCGGCTATATAGTATGTACATTGTACATACATATTTTTAGAAAACCAGCACAGTGCATTTCTTTTAAGAATTTGGCATTTTTTATCTGGCGGTGACTGTGTTGCAATTCTCACTTAGTATTTTTTATTTAATTTGCATAAACATTTGAAGATGTTTTCCAGATGCGTTCATTTCTATCCAAAATTACATTACTTCATTAATATGCACTTATCTCGCCTTTGTATCTGAGATTGGTATTCTTTGGAATTTTGTTTATGCGATACGCATCAAAAAATTTAGGTGCAAATGTTTGTTTTTCTGGGTTAGTATTGAAGAAGAACAGCCGATATGATGAAATTCGTAATGACCGGCTGAATCGGTGCAAAAATTGTTTGCAAAACACGTATATGCTTTTTTAATCAATTATTGTATTAAAGACACTGAAATGTTACTATCAGATTAATTAAACATCCGCATTTATTTTGTCTTAAAATTAAATTTAATATAAGCCGTAATTTTTTCTTTCAGAGTAGCAAAGAAATACGCGCAACTTACAAAAGAAAATATGTGAAGCAACAGCAATGCTCTTAAAATCTTCAGAGTTAAATTTTACTCGCAGAAATGTTAGCGTTTTAAGTTTTAGTGCAGCCAAATTCAAAAATCAGTCTATTGTGAATGTTTACTGCAAATATGTTGCAAAATTCCAGTGATCCACTATTTAGTTAGTTAGTTCTAGTAGAAGGAGGAACGAGTCTTCCTCAATTAGCTAAAAAAGCCGTTTTAAATCCACAAAACCTCATAATATTGGGTAGTAGAGAGAAGATTAAACTAGAACCAGCCAGAGGCATTTATAAAGGCAAGAATCTAGCGAACGCTTATACTAGAGATATCACTGAGTGTGTTGAAGAAGAGGGCCCCCAGAAACTTATCCTAGTTTTGACCAAACCTGCACATACACACATCAGGTGTTCTGGTGTCTTTTCTTCGAGAGCTTCTGTAATGTAAAAGATACCGTAGGGCAGGCCAAGTCTAGCTCTATGTCGTTCTGTGGTCTAGTACCCTGTAAAGACGGATATTTACCTAGATATCTCTGATTTGCTTCTATGCAGTCATTCGTTAAAATCATATGAGCACTTCATTTCCAGAAAAAAGTGCGAACATACAAGTCAAGTATGGTTTTGGGTCAGTTGGCTAATGAACACTAACTCTGAGCTGCAAATTTGGCAGGGCACGAGTCTAACGCTTAGTACTTGCACCCTCAAAAAATTATTTACAAATAATTAAATTTAAAAAATAATTCCAATACCACTGATAATGGGTATTTGGCAATACCCGAAACAGCTATTTTGGTCAGCCAAAAATTCAATTAATTAATAAATAACAAAATTCTATAATTGTGATTTAATACTGTTCGAAATATCTCTCTTTTAAAAAAAAATGGTTATATTAAGAATTTATTTTCTATCGTCAAAACGAACGTTAAATATCAATTTAAATTAAAAAAAAAAACGAAATTAGCTGCTAAAATATAACTATAACTCAAAATATCTTTTTTTATTACATGGATTTGATTTAAATGCTTATATATGAGGTTGACAATTCATTTATTGATTTTTTAAAATTATTAATCTAAATGATTTATACAGTCTTGAATGAGTTACAAGTATTTCTCATAGCATTTTCTCTATTCCGCTAAAGAAACATCCTGTCCATAGATCTTAAACACATCAACGACTTCTTCTGACTTTGATTATATTTATTCACGCACCTTGTCTTTGATGTGCGAAAACACAGACAAGAAATGATTGGTATGCCGAATAAACCTGTACGGTTAATGACTTATCAATTCGATTAGGGCATTCCGTATGTTCGGAAGTAATTTATCTAAGTAGATGTATGATTCCATACATTGTCCATTTTATGCAATTCGAAATGTAGAAAATTTCTCCAAAAACTTCTGACAAACAAATGTTAGTGTCCCTTCAATATTATGTTACACATTTCTCTAAAGATATTGTTACCACATAATATATTATTTAAAAAAAAAATAAACTACCATTTATTTCGAAATGCCAGCGAACGCTATCTAAACAGTCGACTGCTTTTCAATTTCAGGTTCATATGTATAGATCCATATTTCGTCATTGTATGTATATCTAGAAAATTTCTCTACATCAATCGACCTGAACAACACATAATGTGGAATTCAAATAATTATAAAGTATCTTTTTCACAGGCAAATGAATATGGAATATATAGCACATATATGTAAATATATTGTATATACTGTTGAAATTAATTACTTAGGTATTAAGTATTAAGCCTACATTATCAATATTGAGTGTACACTTGATAACTGGATAGTACAAGTAATAAAAATTTGTTTCCAACTATTTCATTATATTCAAAAAGTAGTACTGTGGCGTTTAAAGTAATGCTGCACGATGAGAATTCCTTCATATTATCATTGTAATAGATATGTGTATTATAAAGTCACTAATTGGGTACTAGAAACATTTTCTAATACAGTTGATATAATACATTTTTTTGAGAGAGAAATTAATTTGCGATCTTATTTTACTGAAATTTGAATTCTTAAATTTTATTTTTTAGTGAAACTATATAATACATCATTTAGATACTTATATAAATTTTTCATTTATACTACAGCATTACCTAAGAAATATAGACTGATCTGCAATTAAAACAGCCTGAAGCGCAACAAATATTTAAGAATGGACATACTTATACAATATCTTTAGAAATTGATTAAATCAAACTTTGTTTTTACAATATAATATACATATTGTATTATGCAAATAATTAATTATTTGAATTTCTACAGGAAACATAGAGACGTAACATATCATTTTCATTGAACTCTGTTTACCTTCAATCACTTAACTGCATTTTGTCTCTTCCCATAAGGTAGAGATCGTCGGGTCTTTGTAATATGTTACGTGTATGTCCTTGCCTTTTACTGGTTACAGGGTTAGTCCGTAGAACAAGACTAAGCCTCTTATATTTATAAAGCATGTTTATAGTAATTGCTGGTTGCCATATTCTGAACCGGTACAAGTTTAGTATCGGGGCTTTAACATTAGTGTTTAATATTCTTATTTTTACGCGATGTAAATTTCTCTATTGTCCTTTATACATATTATTATTTTTAGTATATAAAGTTTTGATTTATCTGTCATGTACCTACTATAATTTTTAGATGTGTAGAAAAATTTTAAATTATTGATATAGTTTATTTTAAAACTGACTTATGGCTTTTTTGATTGATAAATCTGGAGAAATTTTTTCAATGGAGTCACTATTTTAATGCACTTTAAGTGCAATTTTCATTTTCGATTAATAATTTTGAGGCAAAATATATAATACTCGAGATTAATTTATAACACTCTAGATTTTTTGCCAGATTAGCAAGATTAGCCTGAAATTAACAGTGGTTTTATATAATTTGACAGATATAAACTGTAATTTAATTCGATATATGAATTTCTGAAAAATATAAGTGCTTACTGAGACAACTAAAAAAATGTTCGATTGGACAACAAAATTTGACAGATCGAGAGTAAATCTAGATTGAATCCAGATTTACCAAACAAAACCACTATTAGTTTTAAGTTTCAACATATTATACAAAAAACCAGTAATTTCAAATCAAATTTATGAATATGCCAAGTATTAAAACTAGAGATTTTTATCTCTCTATAATCTGAAATATAAGGATTTGGTATATATAGTCCATTTCATTAAGAAAACACACTGAACCATACACACTTACACACTCAAAACTAAATGAAACTGGCTTCACAATGTGTTTTGTTGTCGCGTCACCATCTTTCCTTACTGATATTTATTATATTGATTATATAGTATTTTAGTGTTATATATATATGAATATGCACTACACACATCATTGCTTGAAACACATCTAAATACATATGAAGTTTACTACTTCTGGCTCACGACAGCCGCAAGCTCTTCAACTTGTAAATTAATTTTAATTGAAAAGTTTCCAAAATTGTGTACGCAAATGTGGTAAGTTAATTTATGACAGAAACACATTAGTTTTAAGACACTGTAAATATATATATATTTATATCAGCATAAGTATATACAATATGTCAATTCAAACTTCATGCGAATATTAAACTGAACTCTTTGCCTTATTGCAAAATCTGATTGTTGTTTGATTTTTTTTTTTCAGGAAACTAATAAAAGCTGCAATCAAACGATTTGTGACTGTAAAGGTCTTAAGGGACATCAGGGTTCTATGGGTCCTAAAGGTTTTCCTGGTCAGGAAGGCTCTCCAGGAGATATGGGCCCAACAGGTCCACCAGGTCGACCAGGTGAAATCGGCGATGCTGGCGAATATGGAGAACAAGGCGAAAAAGGACAACGCGTAAGTTTAATATATAAAATTATTATTTAACTTTCAGTGATGTACACTGAATTACAATTAGCAGTTCTTTTACAATCTATCTCCCTTGCTTCATTGCACAATACATAAAACGGCTTAAAAGAAAGTAAAAATATCAGAATATATCTGTAATTTTGCAAATACATAACATATCTCCCATCTAAAACAAAATTCCTTAGTATTTTTACACATAGATAGAATCAAATATCCTTTTGAAATGTTAGAGAACTTTTCCAGATAAGTAAACTCAGTTGTTATATTTGTTCACTCCACATGGCGTAATGGGACTCGGTAGTAGTTAAATTAGAGTTATCGACCTCAAAAAGAAGCTAGTTGTAGACAGTCTCCTCTCTAAAGTAAAATTGCTAAGTATTTTTACACATATCTAGAATCAACTAACCTTTTGAAATGTTAGAGAACTTTTCCAAATTAGTAAACCCAGTTAATGTTATGTTTATTCACTCCACATAGCGTTATGGGACTTGGTAGTAGTTAAATTTAAGTTACCGATCCCAAACCGAAACTAGCTGTAGACAGTCTGGTTATTCTTCATGATGTGTTAATCGTGCATGAGAAAACATATTTTTAAAGTCAAAATCCCAGCAAAAATCCTTTAAATTCGTATATGAACATAATTCCAGTTCGTTTGTTTTTTTTTACATTTGTGTGATTTCCCAAAAATATAACTAGCGAGTATGTCTTACAAACGAGACAACCATGATTCATACATGCCAAATTTTTGTTCCACATATTAGGTGTAAACCAATACAAACGGACATACCTATTCTGTAAGCGTAGTTGCGGATATACATCCAATTTCGAGTTTCTTTTTGAGTGAGCCTATAAACAAATTAAAGATATATTTTATTAATCTATTTAATGCTTGGAAATATCTGCTTTAAATCGGTACTTACTAACTAAGCTGTAAGAATAACTTTCTATTAAGAAAAGAACTAATAAAACCTGTATAGTGTTTCTTACTATATTATTGGGTTAGCAAATAGATATGTATTCTCTTCGAACGCCAAATATGATACTAATATGACCAAATGTGAAACAGATTCGATGGAAAAAAATTATAGGTTTTACATATCCTGCGAGTTGTTGTTAATTTTGAGTTATCTTTGCCAATATTAGACTTTTAAATCTGCTCTCTGCTTATCTGCTCCATATTATTGTTATAATAATAACATTATGTAGAAGCTTGAGGATGTGGTGCAGAAGTATGGGTTTAATGATAATTCTATTGTGTTATGCCTATGCATAGGACTGTTATTATTTTAATTTTGTTTCGATCACTACGTTTTCATTTTAATATTTTTTAAATTATAATTTTAAATTTAATTAAATTTAAATTAATAAAATTATAATTTTAAATTTTAACTATTTTAACTATACTCAATTAAATAGTTATAAAGCAAAGCAAAATTATCAGTTGAACCAAACAAATAGTTCTATCAAATAAGTCAATATAAAATCATAATTTTAAACTTGCTATCCGAAGATTATAATGAATATAATGCTCATTTCTATACCCTACTTAACAAAATATAAGTTTTTCTGCACCATTTGATATATATCTTATAAACTTATCCGCCTAGATAGCAAAGCACGCGGTAGAACTCGAATAATAGTCATAAACGTCTAAAATACAATATAATTTATCCATATTCTCAAGCTTATTTACATGCGAGTCTCATTCATTTGAAAAACCAATGTACAGATCTTGGTCTGTCTGTGGTATATAATCTACGAGTATGTTCGTTTCTACACACTCATTTGGAATCGCTTTGCTCTTAGTCCAATACAATATTACATTATATTATTATTATTAACAATATTAACTTCTTAGATTGCATAATCACATTTCAATGCTTATACTTGCATAATTATATGAATCGAGACTAATATAAGTGAACTCTTATTTATTTTAGGGTGACGCTGGTGAGACTGGTTTACCTGGAATGCATGGACCAACTGTAAGCTGAATGCTATATTAAAATAACATTTTTAATTATTCATTGTAAAATAAAATAGGGTCGACCTGGTGATGACGGTTCTCAAGGTCCACGTGGTATTGATGGTTGTGACGGTAAGGAAGGCTTGCAAGGAATACCAGGTTTACCTGGCCGATATGGCTCTCGTGGTCCTCTTGGAAAACCCGGTTCTGCTGGTGTAGTTGGTGATGCTGGCGAAGGTGGTATAAACTCAAAGGGTACGAAAGGAAGTCGTGGTGAGCATGGTGAGCATGGTTTATCTGGTCAGCAAGGTCTGTCTGGTGTAAAGGGTTATAAGGGTGCCACTGGGTATCCTGGTATAGAAGGCGCGAAAGGTGATGAAGGATTAAAGGGCTATAAAGGTGAAATGGCGGAGCCAGTCAACCTACAATTAATGCTTGAAGGTGCTCATGGTGAAAAAGGTGAACCTGGTGATGCTGAAGAGAATGAACTTAAATACGCTGATGTAATAAAAGGCTACAAAGGTGAAAGAGGTTTTCCTGGAATAAATGGGGTATCAGGAGTACAGGGCGAAACTGGTGAATTTGGTCGACAAGGCTTACCAGGTGCTCGTGGTGATATTGGTGAACGTGGTGAGCGTGGAAAGCCAGGTAAGCCTGGTGAGCCAGGTTTTTCCGGCGAAAAAGGAGTTAAAGGTGCGCCTGGATATAATGGAAATAGTGGAGAAGATGGTTTGCCTGGAATACGTGGTGAAAATGGTTTTGATGGAACTCCAGGAGTTCAAGGTCCAGTAGGCCCACCTGGTATATATGACCCTTATCTGGATAAGGCTTATCCCGGTCCACAGGGTCCTCAAGGTGATATTGGAGAACAAGGTGATCCGGGCGTAACTGGTATCCCAGGAAGACCTGGGCGTCGTGGACCTGTGGGTCCGGCCGGTCCTCCGGGTGATACGGGTCTAGATGGTTTGCAAGGTCGTCGTGGAGTCAGTGTTAAAGGTGATGAAGGTGACTACGGTTTAATTGGATTTCCTGGACCAATAGGTGCAACAGGTGGACCTGGCCCTAAAGGTCGTGTTGGTCAAAGAGGTAATCCTGGTTTAAATATTAGAGGTAAAAAAGGTTTTGCTGGACAAAATGGAATACCTGGTGCATTTGGATACCGTGGTGATCGCGGTGAAGTTGGTTTACCAGGTGAAAAAGGTTTACCTGGAGTTGGTGTAAATGTTGTCGGACCTCCTGGTTTTGAAGGGCCACCAGGTCCTCGTGGCCAACCTGGAGATGATGGTTACCGAGGATTTGATGGCAATCCTGGTGATAAAGGTATTCGTGGTGATGACTGTGGAATATGTCCGGCTGGTCCTCAAGGCACTAAAGGGTTACAAGGAGATGCTGGTCGTCCTGGTGATCATGGAAGAAGAGGACAACAAGGTTTAACAGGTCAACGTGGCCCAAAAGGTTCATCTGGCTTACCTGGTCGAAAAGGTTACAAAGGAGAGGCTGGTACAAATGGAATTCCTGGTGACCGTGGGCAAATAGGATCTCCTGGTCGACATGGTATTGTAATACCTATTAAAAATCTTGCTCAAAAAATTCCAGGCGACCAAGGTGATATTGGTGAACGTGGTGAACAAGGACAGGAAGGCGATAGAGGACAGGATGGTAGACACGGATGGAGGGGTGAAAAAGGTGAAACAGGCCTACGTGGCGAATATGGTGATTCTGGAAGGCCAGGTATTAATGGTAATAAAGGTGCAAGAGGCAGAAACGGATTACCTGGAAGAAATGCACAAGTTCCTAAAGAATTCTTAGTTGGTGAATCTGGTTACAATGGAAGCGGGTAAGTGTATATATACATATATACAGGTTTGAGATGAATATATGTAAAATTTTTCTTGAAGAGGTGCACGTGGTGAAGTTGGTGATAAAGGCACTAAGGGCGATAAAGGCGAACCAAATCCTGGACAAATATATGACAATAAGGGTGAACCTGGTGACAAAGGCTTTGAGGGACAAATAGGTGCTAAAGGTTTTCAAGGAGATATGGGAGTGCCAGGCATTTCAGGCATTCGTGGTGATATAGGTTTACCTGGACCAACAATTGAGGGACCTATGGGATTTAAAGGCTGGTCGGGTGTTATTGGTGACTTTGGCAATCACGGTGCTCCAGGTAGTCCTGGGTTGAATGGTTTGGCTGGATCAGAAGGCGTAAAAGGAATAAAGGGAGTACGTGGAGATCCAGGTCGCAATATATTGCCTGGTGATATTGGCGTTGATGGTGATATGGGTATGAGAGGTATAACTGGCGACATCGGGTTTCCTGGTTATCCGGGACGTGCTGGTGTTCTAGGAACAAAAGGTGTTAAAGGTCTTAAGGGTGATGATGGACAAATGGGATTACAAGGGTTATCTGGTAACAAAGGCGCACGTGGAGACGTTATAGTTGGTTACCCTGGCTTAGAGGGAGCTCCAGGAAGAGACGGTCGTACAGCGCCACATGGTATAAAAGGTGATGTAGGTGAAATTGGCGCGCTAGGTGCAAATGGTGCTAAAGGTGTTAAAGGAAAAGTCGGATTACCAGGACGAAGAGGTTCAATTGGAGATCAGGGTTTACCTGGACAACCTGGTCAGATTGGCCCTGTAGGCTGGGGTGGTATACCTGGTAACCAAGGCGACAGAGGTGACATTGGTCAAAATGGAAGATATGGTGATATGGGTTCAAGAGGCCAAATGGGTAACATAGGTTCAAAAGGTAAAGTGTTAAATAATTGATATTGTTCTGCTTTTTAAAATCCTATTTTTATTTTAAGGTCAAACTGGAGATGCGGGACCAGTTGGTCATGCTGGTACGTATGGTAGGCACGGCAGAAAAGGTCAAATGGGAGATAGAGGTTTAATTGGTCAAAGAGGTAACAAAGGAATATCTGCCCGAAGTGGTATTAAAGGTCAAATGGGAACACCAGGGCCAACTGGTATTCAAGGTTACGCAGGAATTGAAGGTCAAAAAGGACAAAAAGGTTCAGAGGGAGATACACCTATTGCTTATGACGGGCTTGTTGGCTTTAAGGGACCAACCGGTGAACCAGGCCGCATAGGTCTACATGGTTTAAAAGGCGTTAAGGGTGAAAGAGGAGACTATGGATATACAGGTGCTCCAGGAAACATTGGTGATAACGGTTTCCCTGGTTTACCAGGCAGAAATGGTAGAAATGGTGCTCCTGGTAGAAAAGGCAGCGATGGGCCAATTGGTTTAGAAGGTCTTCAAGGCGCACAAGGTGAAATAGGTGATACAGGATTCGCTGGCAACGTAGGAATCAAAGGTGATTACGGTGATATGGGTTTAGTTGGTGCAGATGGCGCAAAAGGAGAACGTGGTGAAATAGGTGAACAAGGACGACCAGGTATAACATTAGATGGGTATGCTCAGCGAGGCGACAAAGGTGAACAAGGATTAATGGGACAGATGGGACCAATGGGTGACCAAGGTTCACTTGGTGATTCTGGTTATGATGGTAGAAAAGGAGAAATTGGTGAAATTGGTTTAGACGGAGTTACTGGCATTGATGGATATATTGGCATTAAAGGCGGAGTTGGTGACAAAGGTTCGATTGGTTTACCAGGTCCAATAGCTGCTTTCATCGAAAATGGTGAGGTAGGTGATTCAGGTTATGATGGGCTTGGTGGTCGACCAGGATTACCTGGGCAAAAAGGTGCCCCTGGCGAGCAAGGTGATAATGGAAATGCCGGCTTAATTGGTTTACCTGGCCCAAGCTTACAGGGTCCAGTTGGTGGAGTTGGTGATATTGGATATCCTGGTCCAGCTGGTAGAAGTGGATTAAATGGAAGAGCAGGTCCCAAAGGTGTACGTGGTGATACAGGTATTCAGGGCCAACGTGGTGAACCTGGTTTTGCAATATTAGGTAGACGTGGTGATGCTGGTGATTACGGTTTCGAAGGTGCTCGTGGTTATGATGGAATTAAAGGTCAACAGGGAGAAAGAGGGATACCGGGTAGAAATGGTCTAATGGGTCCACGTGGCCAGCTTGGTGCCACTGGAGATCAAGGTTGGAGTGGAATAGATGGTCTTCCTGGCTTAGATGGGCTTAAAGGTGAACCTGGTATAACATTCCCCTTCGACTACGCTCGTAAAGGTGACCGAGGTGAACCTGGCTTAGAAGGCTTTAAAGGCCAAATAGGTGACATGGGTGTTCAAGGTATAGCTGGCAGAATAGGCCTACGTGGAATGAAAGGTTTTCAAGGTGAGCAAGGCCAGATGGGTATAGCTGGGCGAGATGGACCACAGGGAGACATAGGTATGATTGGTCAACCTGGTTTAGCTGGACAAACAGGACCAGCAGGACCTAAGGGCCCCGTAGGCGATCCAGCGCCACCACCACCCCGTTCAAAAAGTCGCGGTTTTATATTTGTGCGACACTCACAAACGGTACGAATTCCTGATTGTCCAGCTAATACAGGTAAATTATGGGAAGGATACTCATTGGCTGGAAATATTGCTAGTAGTCGTACAGTTGGACAAGACTTGGGATCATCGGGTTCATGTTTAATGCAGTTTACCACTATGCCCTACATGATGTGCGATGTAAACAATGTATGTAATTACGCACAGAACAATGATGACAGTATGTGGCTTGCAACAGATGAACCAATGCCCATGCAAATGACGCCAATTCAATCAAAAGATTTGCGTAATTATATATCTCGGTAAGAATTTTTATATATATATAAAAGATATTTGCATCTAAGAACATGTATTATACTTTCTCTTTTAGTTGTGTTGTGTGCGAAACAACGACACGCGTTATATCTCTTCACAGTCAAAGTATGTCTATACCAGATTGTCCAAATGGATGGGAAGAGATGTGGACTGGTTATAGTTATCTTATGGTACATTATATATTTTTTGTTTTTTAATGTTTTTAAAAATAAATATAATTTAGACTACAACCGACAACACTGGCGGTTTTGGACAAAATCTGGTGTCACCTGGATCATGTCTTACAGAATTCCGTAGCAACCCTGTTATTGAATGTCATGGCCATGGCCGCTGCAGTTACTATGATCCTGTAGCATCTTTCTGGTTAGCTGTTATACATGAAAATGAAATGTGGAGCGCACCAAGACCACAAACACTAAAAGCAGACCACACCAGTAAGATTAGCAGGTAAATATCACATATTTACAAATTGCAAAATATCTACATACATCTCTTTTACATTTAGGTGTACTGTCTGTCGCCGTCGCAATGATTCATTTGTTACACGCCTTCCGGATGCTGGCAGCGTTGCAAAAGAATTAAGACGAGCTCCTGAAAGAGTTATTCCTGTGCACCGTCCAGAAGCAGTGCCAAGCTCAAATCAGTACCCTAATTACCGGCAGTACAATTTCCAAAACAATTACAGACGTCCAAATCCAAACGGTGCCTACAACTATGGAGAACAAAACCGTGTGAACCGAATTCGACGTCCACGTGAGGACACTTATGCACCATAAAACAGCTGTTGATAAAGAAAACTAAACACCACAAAAAAACTAAAATTAATTTAAGATTTAACCAAAGTTTAAACAATTTCTGCCATTTCTATGCTTTAATTAAATTTATACCCTTATAGTTACTTTAATGAATAACATTTAAAAATAATGTCGTTGGTTTGTGATTAAATATGAAACTTCAAGATAAATTCAAACACTTCGCACTATTAGAACACCTAAATTCTCCATTGAGAATCGGCTTGCTCCAATTTTCGGTAAGAATTCAAATTGTTCTTACACACCGAATTGCTGGAGAATAGCGTACCATTAACTGTTTTTTTTTTGTAATATTAATATACAGATAAAAAGAATTTTTAATTAATGTATACAAAAAACAAATTTTTAAGAATAAACAGAAAATTTATTTAATAAGGAACTTGTTTAACTAAATTTTTAAATAGTTGATAAGAAGTCCCGGATATTGCAGTCTAAAAAATAAAATTGAATAGACCCAATAAAGTTCTCAAAAGGTGTTTAGCAAAGTAGTTGCAGGTAAATCGTTTTCTCGAGTCAAAGGTGAGTGCTTGGCGGCGGCAGTATTGCGATGCTTACCAAAATTACGTTAATAGGACGTGAACTCAATTAGCGATGATACGAGTATCTTCCTAATGCATCGTTCACTATATCATTTTCAATGTCAAATATTGTCAGTATAAGGAATACGGGTAGTCATATGATGTCATATTCGCATTCTTGTCATGTAATGAAAATGCATTTGACATACCAGTCAATTATAATTGTCATTTAAAATGACATAGTGAAAAAAGACATAAGAATAGTGAAAAAAGACATAAGACAAATTAGTCAAATTTGGGTAGTGTATACCGCAGACAGATCGGCCAGTAAAAGTTACTCTCTTCTTCTGGCTGATCTTGCTGTACTAAAAACAAAAATACCATAGTATAAGGAATAAAAAGTATACAATGAAAACTGAATAAGAACATTTACATTAGTTACTACATAGATAGTCTAAATGGGTGATTAACAATAAATTATTGAAATATAAAACAATACTAAATTCAATTTGGACATACTACCGCATTTAGTAGAACATTTTAAGTCATGTACTTTTGATCTTGGATCTACTTTCTCATCACATTCTCTTAGCGTCTGCAATATTTATTAGCCAAGTTTCTGCTTCTCCTCTCTAAATCTAATTATTTCGCTTTAAGAACTTGAATCACATATGACTGCATTGTTTGCCTCTGCATTGTGCTCGCTGTCATCTTTTCCATAATATTTTCTGGATTTATTGGTCTAATCTGGGTTATTATCTCTTCTCTTATGATGAGCCACCTATTACAGTAATAGAAGACATATTCTGCGTCGTCATTGTTTCCGTCGCCATAAATGTAATCGGCTAGATCCGCCCATTCCATGCAGACCTGTGCTTGTATTTACAAAAATATCCATGTCCAGTCAGCATCTGAGTGAGATAGTAATTTGTGTCTCCCGATATCCGTTTGAGTCAAGTGATTATATTTGTTATCAGTGTAGCTGTTCTGATCTTCGCCCTTTGCGCTTTATATTATACTCAATAATAGTTGTTTATTTCTTGTTGTGTACTCTCTGGCGTTCTTTTAGTTGTAGATCAATAGGAATTATACCTGCTATTAGAAAAACTGCTTTCGCCGAGACAGTGCGATACACTGATGTGATACATAGAGTCACCCTTCCATGCACAACTATTATTTTTTCCGTAACAGGTCCTCCCTTATTAGCCATTAATTTGCTCAAAGAAGGAGTCAACTTTACTGCTTTATCATGCTTCATTTATTTACGGCAAAAACGTAAGTTTTCCAAATAGTCTTATTTGAAGGTAATTGATCGTTGTTTGGGTTCTCAAAACATCATTTTTTACTCGCATCTCCACATGCGTATATATATACCTTTGAGTTAATAGCAATATCTCTGTTTTGTGAGCAGCTATCCATAAGCTATGTGTGATTAACCAGTGCTGTACTCGTAACATCACTTGTGCAAGTTTTCTTTGCAATAATTACGTATACCGGCCGGTTATAATTGCTGCTATGTCATCTGCATAAGCTACTAGAAAAGTATCATGTAGTATCTCTATTTGCAAAATACCATCATAAGTGATATTCCATAGTTCAGGCACCAAGATTGATCCTTGCGCTGCTCCAGTCATTATTTGTACCGTTTTTAATCAATTTTTTGTTGTATAGATTAATTGTCGGCTTGTTAAATAACTTCTTATTGACTCGACTTTAATTATTTTTATATTAATTAATCAATATACTTACGGTCAACACAACAAAAAAAAGGCAGAAAAAAAGACATCATATCTATCGTGGCTTTACTTTAAATTTATTTAATGTATATCATAGTTATTTTTACTCATATTTCCCTTTTTAAAATCATTATAAATGTTGGCTACTGTTATTATTTTCTATTGTATTAAGTCTTTATATTATATTAAATTTGTTTAACTAATTTGTTCCATTTATAAAAACATTCGAACATTTACACACAAAAGAAAGTACATTAAAAATCATATTGTATGGTAACAACTTAATCAAATATGCAAGAAATCGTAGTACCATAACCCCTCAAAGTAGAATATCTTTTATTTATTAAAATCGCTTTAAAGAATTTTACAAAGATTTCAACTAATTAGAATTTGAGTTTTTTTACATTTTTTTCTTGTCTATTATTTAACAAAATCAGGATTATCTTGAGGAGTGTCTGTAAATAACAATTGATTATCAATTATTTGGAAAAGCTCTTGTGGTGCTGGAATGCGTCCAGTTTGCAACTTTGACCAAATAGGAACATTATTAAGTGTTATTTCAAAGGCACCAGATGCGACAAGCTGTAAAAGAGTAAAAAAAAAATAATTAATTAAATACAGTAAAGCAAATTATATCTTTTGTTATACGTATTTTATATACAAAGAATTTTAATAGAATTAAAAAAAAAATATTGTACTCCAATTAAAAACTATCAAAATAATTATTTGGTATCAATTAGAGTAGGGACTCTAATCAAAAAATTAGTTATGATTCATGTTGCACCAGAAGCATAAGATTTGATAACTTCGACTTAACTAAACTCTTAAGTGGTTCTGTGTTTTGTGAGCACTCGTTTTTCTTTATTTATTGTATTTACATATTTCGTAACTTAGTTAGTTGATCCTCTGTATAAATGCTATTTTCTATACTGTTATTTATGAAAATAGTTCCACCATCGTACAACTACTTCATTAGGATTTACAACTCTGTACCAAAATTTCCGAAAATAATAGCAAATATTAACGAATGCACCATCATTTTCGATGTGAATATTTATGAATAATAATAATATATCTATAAGATAGAATTTGTAATTACAAAACTTATTAAACAAAAACAAAAATCAACTCTTCAACTACATCAACAATCTCCAAACACACAGATTCATTGCACTGTGCTTATTCAGCCGTTAGATTAAAAGTTTTTCAACTTGATCAAAGTACACTACAAAAAACAACTACTCCTCTATTTGCTGGACGAGAAAGTAACAAATTTGCAGTTAAAACTGAATACTTTCAATTTTAAAACAGGTATTCAGACTCTAACTACGTCCTAGGACAAAATAACCTCGCGAAATATTAAAAAATTTTGAAATGTTTTGCTGAAATTCAATAATGAATGGAGCGAAGAAGACAATATGTCTTTAAATAATTTCACAAACTAAAATTCGAGAAGAAAACGGTACTTTCAACCATTGTCACTTATATAGCTGAGATTAGTCCAAAACATAACTTTACAGAGTTAAACATAAAAAATTGAATTCAAGAGAAATTTCCCGTAGAAAGTAATGAGGACCAAATAGAATTATCAGAAATGGAGCCGGAGAATTCACATAACAGAATCCAGAATTATTTAACGTGATTACCTGTCATGATGGTTTAACAGCACGGTACTCATTAACATACGTATCAGTATATTGCGCCGATAAACGCCCCATTGGAATTTCAAAAGAAATTTCCACCGGTGACAATGAAGAAATATGTGCCTGTAAATACCTGATCATTTTTCCGGCGTAAGTTAGGGTATTAACCAAAGCCACTACAAGTCCAACCTCAACTGGTCAGCACAACCGAAGCTGCGGGCTAATGATACCCATAATATCAGATTTGCACCTTTGGTCAAGTGCCGCAGACTGGGACAACACCTACTACCATGTACACTTCTTGTACAAGTGTGAGCATAGCGCCAGGATTATAGACGCCTCTTACGACAAGCATGCCTACCAAGGGAATATTTTAACCCCTTCACCGCAGGGAGAAATTCATATGACAGTGGTCATAAAGAAAACAAAATTAAAGTAGACGAGGTTATAACATCGATTAACATATGCATAAAATGAGCGAGCTTTGGGAAATGATAAGCCAACAGCAGCACTATATGAACTACGTGATTCAACTGTTCATCCAAAAAAGCAACTTAAAATTTTTAAGTTTCTTAAAATATTTAAATGAATAAAATCAGCGAGGGCTTTAGTGTTTAATTAGACGCGAATACCAAACGAGCACTGTATACCGAGATGCAGCTATATATCCACTATAACAAAACTTCGTGTATTCAATAGTAACATAAAGACGGTTCTATGTTATTGAAGTAACATATAGTAGAATACTATCGACTTGGAGAATATTGCAACTAATATCAAAATTCTATATTTATATAGAAACACGCAACATATAAGCTTTGTAATACTAAATATTGCAATAAGATTCTACGTTCAATTGTATTAAACTGCAGTGTTTGCATTGTGTTTTGCACTAATATTTTATTTATATATACCTGATTTCAATTCTGCATTTACAAAGTATTTTTTCTCACATATATGGTAAGTAATTTAAGACATACCTTATAGATATTTAATTTCAAAATAAAAAATTAATATTATCACAATTAATTTTTTGCGGTAAAAATTGCATTGTTATTAGACAACTGAATACTGTCAAACAAACAGATATCTGCTGACATAATCTTTGTCCTCGAGGGGTAAGGTTTCTCCCCCAAGGCTAGTCTCAAGTAAATCCCACCCAACCTTCATTCATTTCCAATCGCAAATTACCCTTCCTCGACTCACTTACCCCCTATATAATTCATATTCTAAAACATGTATTAGTATTTTTAAATTCCTTTAATGTCCTCTGCAATATAGGACTTCTCGGTGTATAACAATAACTCAGTAATATACTATTACACAATAGTTATATATATTTTAATCCGTTATGCAAATGTTATAAATTAATTTATATATTTGTTAATCCAGATATAGATTATAAAATACATAAAAACCATTATAAAAAAACAAGTCGATAAATAAATTAAAAAAACTTTATAAATTAATTTATTTTAATAATAAGAATTGGATTATAGAAAATCAACTTATGGCAGTCTGTGCAAGGTTTTACTGTATGTGTCAAACTAAGTAATTTATGTATGAGAATCCCTAAAAATACATAGATCTGCCAAAATATCTGTTATATCTTTTGTAAAGCACAAATCCATTAAAACATTCTTTTTAATTTCAAATTTGGAATCAAGTAGAATCGAAAGGTGACGTCGGATATCACCAAATGACTGAAGTGAAATTAAAAGAATATCTTCGAATAGAAATATTTAAGAGTATAAGCTGCGGGCCTATACTTTACTATGCAGTTAAAGTAATACATATATAGTCAGTTTTTAACTTAGAAAGTCGACTTTTCTTACTAAGAAATTTTGGTATTCTTTTGGTATTTGGAATTCTTTAAATAAATTTTGTATAGTATGAACAAATTAATATAAAAATAATTGAAAAGTAATATTTGGCATTTATTACGTATAAAAACAAAGGACCTATAACAAACATCTGTAAATAAAAAAAATTGGATAACCATTTATATTAATTATATTAGAATTATATTTGCTTAAAACTGTATAGTTTTATCTGCTGTATTATAAAATGAACTTTTTTATATTAGAAATTGGCAAAGAAATGGGTCAGTACGAGCCCATATTCATCTGATTTAGGAAATAGATTAACAAATAAACAAAAAGCATTTTCAGGATATAAAGGCCATCCAAAATGCTTGTATCGACAAACTAAAGAACATTCTGCCGAACGATATGAAGCTGACAATCGACTGGTTCTAAACCGTACAAAACGATGTATTAGGTAAGAAAGAGATTATTTTAAATGAAGTAATTTAGTTTTGTTTTTGTTCATATTTATAAAAAGTACTTCGTATTTTCTGTTAGCCTAATATGTTAGAGATTTAAAATATGAAAAGGCAATAATTAAAATGATATATAAATAAGGAATGGCATCATACAACATTATCGTTAAATACATCAAAAAAATATAGGAACATAAGTATCTCATATTAAAATTATTTAACATTACATAGAATTTTTTCGAATCGAATTTATCGTATATCAGATATATACAGTGTGTTTCCTAAGAATTTACAGTGTAAATTCTTGAATTGATTTCTTAAACGGAAATAAAATGAGTTGTTTAAAACTTTCACAAATACATAGAAATAATGTTGCTATTAAGCGGAGAAGATCTATATGCATATAAATTAATTTAGCATTACAAACATATATATATAATTTGTGACTTGCTATTTTTTTAATGCACATGTTCATATAAAATATACTAAGTATGATAAGATTTCTACGAATAGTATTTAAAGCAGATATTAAACATTTGATCAGTCTTATCTTTTTTTTTAATTTGTTGAATTAGCATATTTCTTACCTGGCTCTCCAACATGTTGCCAACAAAAAATATCATAAGGCAAGCGAACATTTTGTTATCCAACAAATGGCGCCACCATGCCGGTGGTTGTTGACCCATGGCACCAAATATATCGTACGATGAAACAATCACAACGATGAAAAATATTTTTAATACAAAAATAATTTTGGTAATGTACATGTTAACGCCAGGAGGATCATAATGTGAACCGGTCACTGTTATTTGCGGGTATTTCTCTGATAACAAATTTAAATAGTCCTCGAATGCCTTCCGATAACCGCATGAATAACTAATGCATTTGTACATACATTTAAATAAGGTGATTTTATTTTATTTCAATAAATAATTACCAATATGAAAATGTCATCACAGGTCCGCCAACATTTAGACCAAACTTTGTGTCAGGAATTTCTTTTTCCGCAACAACACCAAGATTATTATTAACAAAAATAACACAGCAGAAAGTTATACATATACAAATTGATATATGTTTAAATTGAAGAAAAGCCATTTTTTATGTTTAATCAAAACTTTATTAATTAAAAAAGCGACCCTTTTGCAGTCGGATAACAATGCTCCAAAGCAATTTTTTTTTTCACTGACAGTTTGAAAGACGTACAGCAAGTGACAGCAACTAAGCCACTTGTACTTACAAACCACAGAGTTGCGTTTACGTTGACAACTATGTGGCATTCTTTTCAAAATAAAATGCGGAATAATATGTATCATATATATATATATGATGAACCAGTCAATACTGTATTTGAGAAAACAGAAAATTATCATTTTTATTCTATAATAATAATTAATAAGAAAATATATATCAATAATCAATAAAAATTTATAATACTATAGAAGTCTATTAGGGAAAAGTTACTAAAAATAATATAAAACTTTTCATTGCTTTATATAACTAAATCCGCTGCTAATATCAATTTGGTGGTTGAAGTTTGCTTCTGGTGATTTGTTCAAACTAATATTAATTAATTTATTTATTTACAGTGGCTACAAAAACAAAAGTCATATATGCAGATATTTTGTGTCATAGAATAGTGGTATAAGAACGGAACCTCTCTATTATATGCCGATTTTTCATGATAATAGGTCTGATCCACGAACTACTCATAGTAACTTTAAGTAACGCTGTGTATACACAAATGCGTTCCATCAACAAATTTTCGATTATATGAGATTTATCTAAGAAAGCGTAACATCCCTGTCGAAATTTAAAAATGTTACACTGACTTTACTCATACATTTTATTTCAAGTAAAATTTGTGGTGATATATGAATCAGCTGTTTTGGCTTGAATTTAAATTCTTGTATTGTTTATTTGCGTGGCACTGCAAATTGATAAAGTTGAATATAATAAAAAGTTTTCTACAATAGTCATTTATTGTTATAACCATATCACAAAAGAACAACTGCTTATTTTAAAAATAACATATGAAACATCGGGATATCGTATATACTATATTTTTCCGGTTTTAATAAAGTCAGCTGTCTTTGCTTTCAATTCATTATTCATTTTAATGTTAAAGTTTATATTAATTATTTATTTTTATGTAAAATACAGTTTGCTTGCACTATGTGTATATATGCAAGATATACTATGTTATTTGCCAAAACATGATCTTTGACAGATTTCAACAGTGATGCTAATGTCTCGCTTAACGCTTATAGGCCAGCATGCCGTTTTTTGACACATTTGGGATCCACTGAAAGCACCTATTATTATTTCTTAGAATTTAAACAGTTTTTTAATAAGAGTATGAATTATTTTCAGAAAATAAATTAAATAAAATACTAGAAAACTGGTGACCCGTCACAGAAGGTCATTTAGGTATAACTTCATAATACTAGAAATTGTTTTAATTGACTGACGAAAGAGTTTAAGTACAATTCATTAACAATTAAAAAGATGTTGCACGAATCTATTGCACTTGATTATGAAGAGCGAACGCCCGTAGCAAACATATGGCAATTACCAAGTGAAAAGTCGCAAACAAACCCGAACCGATATTCGATTCCTTTCTTGCATAATGTGACAATTATTTTTTATACAAAAACGTTTACTTAAACGTGGATTTTTAGATTGCATTTAACCAAATCCTCATTGACCCTGCGATATACCAAAGACATTAATCACTATTCCATTTGATTTGTTCGAATTTACCTTTATGACATCAAGCTAACGAAATGCAGCACAGATATTTTAATGATTAACTGTTAATGGTTAATGTATGCGACCGTGCATGGCTAGACTTTGTGTTTGGGTACATCGACGACATCCTTATTGCTTCTAGGGATTAAGAGGAACACTAAATACATCTGCATGTTCTATTTGACCGTCTGCGAAGAGCTGGTTTGACAGCTAACTCGACTAAGTGTAAGAAATGTTTTAAGAACATTTCATTAGTGCTGATGATTTCAAACCATTCGAACGTAAGGTAGCAGGAGTGTAAAATCACTTTTTTTTTATTTTATCCGTAAAGATGCCATACCATTTTTTAGAGATGATAATAAACAGCAGTTAATAAACAGCAATAACTGTATATGCGTGTACTCAGCTTGTAAAACCGTAAAAACAATAAAAGTGAACTTGTGAAGACATTATTGCATCCCTTGTATGTGAGACAGATTTCGTTCAATCTATATTGTTCAACTTTACGGTGCCCTATTGCCTTGAACACTGATGATTTTGATACGGCAATAGGTGTCATTCTACTTTAGCTACTCCGACGTGAAACTTAGGCTTAGGCTATCTTTCTTAAATAATCTGAGCACAGATCAAATTAAATACTACGCGTACGATTGACTGTCATTAGTCACGACATTTAACCCTTCAATTACGCACTCAAAGTCTAAGATTTCTTTATTTTGACGAAGCATAAGTGATTCCAATTGTATAGCCTGACACACAAATACCCAGCAATAGTGGTTTCAAGTACTGTTCAATCGGTTTACTTGACGATAAATAGTCATTTCTTATAATTGAACATTCAACAATCACTTACGCCTTGATTAATGATTGGTTAACGCTTTTTTGGATTCCTTTCCCGACTATTAAAAATATGATGTTAACTTTATTCACCCAGCCGAAGGACAGACACTCGGACATTACATTTATACATATATACACATGTGTATATATATATGTTTATTCTATTAAGATGATAATGCAAGCCAAGCCATGACGACCCTTCAGAGAACCTGCTAACCATCTCAACTTTGTTATCCTGAGAACGTAAAAACGTACCAGATCTACCTGAAGTGTCGCGACAGTAGCGCATTCTTTCGGATACAAACTATTTTTTTATCGAAGGCCTCGTTTACTTTGGTGTTTGATGTTAGATTACTTGCCTAATCTACTTACTTTCTTTGTATCGTTCTTTTTACTTAAAAAGGAAAATTAATTGTCAGTCTTATTCACTAAAATTATATATTTAAAAGTAATTTTTGAAACGATTTTCTATAATTTCTTTTCGGGTATATTTAAATGCTTTCGACAAAGCATGGACTTTCCCCTAAAAATACTTTGTGGATCTATGCTACATTTGTTAGACCTGTAATATCGTATGTATCAGTCATATGGCGAGCAAATCCAATTCTAAAATATGAAATGAGAAGAACTGTTCTCCTAAGGTTTAGCTTAAGCAATAATTATTAAAAAAGATAAAAAAAATAAATTAGAAACAAGTACTTTTGGAGTCGTGCCACTAACTCATTTATAACAGGAGCGCTTAATTTTTTTTTTTTTTTTTGACAATAGGTCTAAGTATCGAAAGCTACCATTTAAGACTTGAATCCACTGAACCACCTCTTAGGAATGAATGGAGAACATTTCCACAGTATTGTGAAAACTTCATTCCAGTAATCAGGGGAGAGAGAAATAAATAGACTTAGTACCAAGCGAGCTAGATATATTTAAGCTAGAAAGGAGCGCTTAAAAGTATACTATACTTATTTTATAAAATTTATTGGTTTGTGACAACACTACAAGAATAAATAATACAATTTTTGGTGGCGTTTTTTAAATTTGAATTTTTTTTTGTTTCTTACCTAAAACGCTTAAAAACAGGGGTAAGTAAAACTTCTTGGTTAAAGTTTTCTGGTTGTAATAAAATTCGCACATCATATTCAGTTCTTATATTGTTTTTGTTGGTTATTTCTAATTTACATTTAAATACATAACTCTCGAAATGAAAAGAACACCACCAAATCTGAATGGATCATCCATCCATCGCCTGAAGTTGTTTAGGTGCTTGATATTTCTTATAGTAAGTTCAAATAGCCGAGAATAGTTTCAATAATAAGATGCAACAACTTTTGTCAGTCTAAAGGTTGGAAGTCAAAGTTATTAAAGAAAGATAGAGCAAGACCTAGCTAGATCGCAGAGAACTCAAAAGAATTATTATAGAAAGGAAGAAGAGAAGAAGAAGCTCCACTTCACGTTTTCAAAAGACTGTGCATGGTAAGTTGGAGTTCCACGAAATAATAGTTTCAGATAACCGATTAATATATGACAGGAACAAGAAAATGTGCATTGTGTCAGCTCTTGACCTACTGAGATGGTTCAACAGATACTCAAAAGAAAAAAATTTTCAATGAATACAAGAATTGAATTTAAAGAAGTAAAAAACTAAATGGAGCAAAAAAAGCAATTAACTCGTCATATAAAGTAATTCTACGAAAAAAAAACGGGTTGTTGCGGTAAGAGGTAAAGTTTAAAGTATTTTAAAGCAGTTTTAAAAATGGTTAGTGCCAATATCATCGTCTTTTTTGAGTATAAGCAACCACTACATTTAATTATTCATTAGAAAATCACCTACTGAAACCAAAAATAATAAATTTTATATATTATTTTTGAAGTGAGACAAACAATTGATGAATGATAGAGAATTTGAATATATTGCATTGAAAACAAAATATTGTGTCTATAGTAGTGTCTATTGATCAATAAGAAAATACTATAAAAGGCTCTTTTTATTCAGTTAGTTTTTGACCTATATGGAAATGATTTAATTTAATATAAAATTTAAACCAACACATGGTAACATAACAACCCTACCCTTCTTCTGATGCACTTATGATATAAATATGAATATAATTTTATTTATTTATTTGTAAATTAACACTAAAATTAATTTTAAAGTTAACTAAGAATAAGGAACTGAACTACTTTTTTTTTTTGACAGTAGGTGAAAGCATCGAAAGCCACCGTGTGAGACTTGAACCCATTAAACCACCTCTTAGGAATGAATGGAGGAAGATTTCCACAGCATTGTGAAAACTTCATTCCAGTAATCAGGGGAGAGAGGAGAAAAAATGGACTTAGTACCTAGCGAGCTAGATTTATCTAAGCCAGAAAGCAAAAGCGTACATAGGGAAATTGAACTACTGAAATACTAAGTTCTTCGCTCTGTGCTTATAGTCATTTTAAGAAATATATCTAAATTTTATTTGATATGTCTTTGGTTAGGTATGGATTTTTTATATTGCAGTCACTATTCCTGAAGAGGCTGGTTGAAAAGGCTGGTGTCGTTGGTTAGGTTGTTGTAGCAGTTTATGAGATGGCTCATGGTTAGAATATATCCACATTTGGGCCATATTGGCTGTACATACCTGTATATAAGAAATTTTTATCAATACCAATAGGTAAACTGAGTAATAATATACAACGTGGAAAGCTATGTTTATCGACAAGCACTAAGAAATTACATAAACAAATTTCTAATTGTTTTGTTTTAGTCTTACCGAATTTGATGATATACTTGTCCTACTTTTTTATTTAGTAGTAGTAGTAGTAGTAATATCAGTAGTTACCTACAGAGTTATAATAAACAACGTGGAAAGCTTGTTTTAATGTTACCGAATTTGATGATGTTCTTATCCTCCTTTTTTTAATTAGATTGGGAGAACAGTTAAAATTTTAAATCATATATATAAAAGTACTCCTAACATAGTTGAAAAAACTCTGTATGTTCTTTACGCAGTATCTTATCAAAAACATTTAATTTCAACAAATGGGTAAAGAAAGTTCTTGAACCCATATTTTAGTATTGCACAATACAATATAAATTTTTGAAAACATTTCTTATATAGAAATATATATATTTTCTTATAGAAAATTATAATTTAAATAAAATAAAATTTTTATTTTTGACTTTTATAATTAATACGGTTTTTATTTTGTAAATTATACATACAAATTCATAAGTATATGTTAATTTTTAATTAAGAAGGCGTTCCGTGTTGTATTTTCATATATGCTTTTATAATTTAATATTTTTAATGAGTATATCTTGTTTTTTTCTTTTTGCATTCGTTTAACGATGTAAATTATAGTTGACCGGAATTCATGACATTTTATATCTTAAACCTAATGCCAAAGCAAGCTTGAGACAGAAATATTATTCATCTATTACGCAATCGCTCAGTTCTTTTTTTAAATATTTTATAAATTGAAACTTTATGGAAATAGAGCAGATATGAACAAATACCATTTAAAAAAACTTACCAACTTTTAAAATAAATTAACCTATGGTACTGCTCTTGATTTTTTGTAGTTTACAACAGCTTTTTTTAATATATTAAAAAAAAATTATATTATTACAACAACTACTTATTATGCACCTAAATTGAACCGTTAAAAACATAGGATAATTTTGTAATACAAAACTATATTACAAATAGATAATTAAATAATTGAAAATTATAAAAATCGCAGTAAAAGCAGCATTTGCTATTAAAGTTGTTAGTTAGTTTACTGGATTTAAATTTAAATCAGTAAAATATATTTAATGAATTTGTATAATTCCCGATTCCAACAGTTTCATTATTTTATCGGCTATAGCTGGATTTTGTAAATGCCTGGAAAAAAATTATAATAATTATTTTTATTTTGTGTAAGCAGAAACAGAAATAAACAACAAAAGTACACTTACTCATTTACTGCCTTAGGATCACTTTGCATTTGTTCCAGTATGATTCGCATTGCAGGATCTTTAAGAATTTGCTGAATTTCCGGATCAGACATAGCATTCTTTAAAATTTCTTGAGGATTTCTTTGGAAAGACATTGAGCATTGGCGGTAACCATCTAAAGCTTCAGCATTATTGGGGTCGATTTCTAAAGCTTTTTGATATGCAGCTGATGCTTTCGACGTTTTTTGCATACCCTACAAAAATTAATATTAAAAATAATTAAAAATATTTCATATTCTTATTACTTAGTGTTATATACACAACAATGAAAAGATAAAAAATTAAAATAAATAAATACATATATTAACATATGTCACATCTTGTGTTGAAACAGTGAACAAAACGAATGTATTGTCATGGTTTCAAGAACGACCGGGTCTATATCTCGGAACTACTCGCCGCCAGGAACGACAAAGTGCCCTTCGACTCCTCGCAAAAGGACTTCACAAGCAGGTCCCAGCGGGTTACAACAACAATACGTTGTCGAAATGTAAAACGATGTGACATGGGGTATACTGTATTTCGAGATACTGTATTTTGACTTTAAAACTTTCGATATCGACATTGTCAGAGTGATCTCACTTTCGTCATAGTTAAGAGGTCCTAGACTGAGGTATTTAACATTTCTGTAAGTAGAACTTCCACATCTCTACATATACACCCACTTATGCACTCATATATATGTAATATTCTCAATATTCTCTCTCAATTATTCACCGATTATATATATATATATATATATATATATATATATATATATATATATATATATATATATATATATAATATATATATATATTCTAACATCACACTTCAATGTTTATTAACACATTCTAAAGGCTATAAAGACTAATATCATTGACAGACTAGTGCATAAATTATCATTAGGTGCATAAATAGTCATTTATTTGGTCATTTAAGAGATTTAAATTATTTGTGGTTTTAAATGACAATTAATTTATTTGAAACAAAATAAAAATTAAAAAAAAATTGCGATTATAAAAAAAGTTATTCTGATTAAGAGTTTCTGCTCATACCAATGACTGAATTTATTATTTTTAACAATAACAATCATTTTTAACAATAATATGACCAGTTTATTTAATATTGTGTATGTCGTTATTTTTGAATTAAAATTTAGTTTCATTAACTTAAAATATACTATACAGCAATTTTTAATGTTTGAAGTGAAAACAAATGAATAGCAACGAATGTAAACACTTTCAAATGACTGATTTGAAATGAGTCATTTGCAATTAGTGTAAACGCCATATAAGCGGCAGTTGGTCGTTTATGCAGACAAGTGACACGGCAAAATTGGACTATATAGACTATTACATCAGTATTGCCAATTTCGTGTTTTTACAATGTTTTCGTACTTTTTGGTTGTGTCTGCATTTCCTAAAAGCAAATTGTAGATATGTTCACTTTCAATTTGTCACCAAAAATAACCCACAAGAAAAAACTCATAGAGTTCTTATTGCCTTAATTAATTCTGTATTAGGAGTATTTGCGTGCAAATTGGTAATGTTTCTAGATTTTTCTAAAAATAAACTTTTTGAAAAAATCAATATTTGTTAACTTTTTTTTTTGTATGATTTGAAAAATACGCATCAGAGATCTAATGTTTATTTATAAATAACAATTCATGTTTCTATAATAACGTTTTCAGCTGATTGCTCATAAATATATAAAAAGAAATGTAACAATTGTCAAAATGAAAACCCGAAATGATAATGTAAACGCTAAATCAACTTTAGTAAAGTTCGTTGACTAATTTGCTCCTAAAAGTCGCAAATTCTGAAATTTGTTACTAAACGACACTGCTTGGCCTTAGTGCCGAGGTATATATACGCCGGCTCTCGTGTAGGAATTCGAACCGACATATTGTTTTCTCTTTCACTCTCAATTTTATAATTTGCAGTGAAAGCAACAAAGATTTTACGCATGCCATACCCGAAACAGTCTACATTACATGGTTATTGTTGTAACCCGCTTGGATCTACTTGTGAAATCCGTTTGGGTGGTGTTAAACGGCGCTTGTTCGTTTTCGACAAGTGGCTCAGGGACGTAGACCCGGCCGTTATTGAACATTACATTGTCCTTAGGCTATGTGTCATCTTGATAATAAAAATAACTCGATACTCCTTTTTAAATACATTTGTACCACACATATTAATATATTTGATTTTCATTAAAATTGGATGTTATTAAATTATAACTTCTAAATTTGAATATCAATTCAAAATAAATATAATATCACTAAATTTTTGTAACATTATATTATTTTGGCGGAAGAATAAGTTCTAATTAAGATGTTGAAAATGATATACAATTGATAGATAGATGATAATTATTAAACTGATATTATTTCAGTTTAATAATTTTTAAAAATTATCATGCCAACTTACCTGTAGGATTTTTCCTTTGCGAATATAACCCTTAATAAATTTTTCATCTAATTGAATGCAAGTCTCACAATCTTTTAGACCTAAGTCAAAAGCTGTTAATTTTGTATAACACGCAGCGCGATTACTGTACAACTTAGGATCACTCGGATTTCTTTTGATTGCTTCGGAATAATACTTTACAGCCGCACTATAATCACCTTTTTTAAATAATTCATTGCCCCTTTCTTTTTCTTCTTCGGCTTTAGCTGGATCAATATAAGCACGGCGTTCTTCTTCTTTAATTTTACTTTCAACCTCACTTAATAAAGTCTTTACCTCTGGTGTGCGATGTTCGGACATAGCCTTTTCATAATAAATCTTTGCCTGACAATAATTTTCCATTTTTTTATAAGAGTTACCAATACGTGTAAACGCTTTAGCAATAAGTTTAAAATCTGCACGATTTTCACGGCCGATTTCAATACCCTTTTCACATTGTTTGATACAATCTTCATAGTTTTTACGTTCAAAATGAACCGCGGCTATATTATTGTAAAAGGTTATATCAGTAGGAACGAATTCCAAGGCAGCATGGTAATGTTTAAGTGCAGTATCGAAATCTTTCTTTTTGTAAGCAGTATTCCCCAATTCTTTTTCTCTCTTAGCAAAGAAGGCTTTCCGTTCCTCTTCACTCATATCATCTGGATTAGGTTCCTTCGGTACATTAGCTGATTCATTATATTTTGGCATTTCATTAGTTTGTGGTGAAGGGTCAGTGTCCATAGGCATAGTACCATGTTTTTGCACAAATTGCATCACAGCGGACGTTATTTCTTTACGTCCTTGCTGAAGAATTGCATTGGTAGGATCATGCTTTAAACCTGTCATAAAAAAATTAAAGTTTAAATAAATTTATTAATTTGATATATAAATCAAATTATTACACTCATGCTTGCATACTACTAATAATCAATCATAAAATTAAAATTAAAAATGCACAACAATCAAAACGAAATTTCTAGAACTGCATGTATAAACACCGGGTCGACATATATATTTATAGGTTATGTATGACACTTTGCAATTCATAACATAATCCAAAAATTAAGATCAATAAACAATTATAAATATATATACCAAATAAAAAAAATTAAAACAAACGAATTTAAATACCTTCATTGTAGGCTTCAAAGGCTTTAACGTAATCTTTCAATCCTGCCAAAGCAACACCCTTACGAGAGTAACCTTTTGGCCACGATGGATTCAATGCGATTGTCTTTTCAGCGTCTTCCAGCGCTTGAGCAAATTTTTCGGCTTTCGCATACGCAGCAGAGCGGTTACTGTATAGAACATGGTTTTTTTCATCTAAATTAATGGCTTCTGTATATGCACTAATAGCTTCATCGTATTTTTCGGCATTCAGTGCTTGATTTCCTTTTTCCTTTAGTTCGTTTACCTACACAAAAAAATAAATGCGATTTTTTTTTTCGCCCTGCTTTATGCAAATAATCGGCTTACCTTTTCCATCGCTATCTGTTGATATATTTTATATTTCTATAAATCTAGTCCTTTTTTTAATGTTACAAATTGAGTTATGAATCAAATTGTGCAGTACTTGAATGGAACACTGTAGCGTGCGTTTTTCCACCTAATCAAATCACGCCAACTTTGTTAAGATTTTTCTAGAAGAAACAAGTGAGGAATGGCGCAAAACAGAAACAAAAATTGCTTTTCGATTGTTCTTTTATGTTGTTATGTTGGCAACAATGTTGGATAACCAGAATACAAATTCATTCTCTAAAATAATATTTGAGATACAATAAAAAATATTTTCAAAAATTTTTTATTTATTACTGTTCTAAAAATTTAAAAATGAAATAAATTTCATTAAAAAAATTATTTGAAAAAATGTTTTTAGTTCATACGTCAAATTATTTCGCATTTGTTGCTCATCATGTCATGTAATGAGTATGTACTTGTGGTAAATATATAACAAAAATTATTTAAATTTCATCATTTTACATTCAAATACGCAAAATATATTAAAGTAAGCGAATTTGAATATATAAAATGCAAGAAATTTTATTTTTTTCTGTGACATGTTAATTTGCTAAAGTATCAAATTTTGACAGTCCATACAAAGTACTAGCACTCGTTTCACATATTAAAAAATCAACGAGAGTTTAGCATGCTAAATATAAAACAAGTAAAAGTCTTCCATACGGCATTTACATTGTGAGATTAAAAGTAGATTAAAGCAATAATCAAGATTAAAGTACAAATCTTAGATTTCCCATACAAAATTAATCTCCATTTAGTCAACATTAATGTTTAAACTGCTTCGAAATGGTAATTGTTTTTCTGAGCAACTCTGCAAATGGCTTAATATCGTAGATTCTTTTTACGATTTTAGAAGAATTGAAAAAATCTCAAAACAAACATTGAAAATGCCGAAGTGAGTAAATTTTTAATAAATTTGTTTAATAATAGTTTTGTAGATAATTATAACTAAAATTTGTTATAAAACTATTTATTAAATTTATATTAAATTTTTTTGTACAAAATTTTTATTACATGCTGACTTACAGAAATTTATCAAACACACGAAACAAACCAAAAGAAAAATGTCAAAATTAATCTTCAATGTATAACATAAATGGTGGAGATTATAAATGCAGATTAACTCAATGTGGTTCTATTAATCTCACAATGTAAACGTAGTATTAGGTTCTTTTGCTTATTTATAAAACAAACTTGTCAAATTTAAAAATATATGAATAACTCTGGCTTATATTTTAAGAATTCAATAAGTTTTTAATTGATATTCCATGTTTTATATAAATTTTACAATTATAATATACTGCAAATTTAAATTTCTTGAAAATATTTTATACATATTTAACTTTATTTTCATATGGATCTTTAAAAAAATGTAGTAATAATATTTCATTTCAAAACGAAGTTAACATCAAAGAGGGAATATATCACCAATTTTTCTTTATACGACCAACAATGCCATAAATCACCTCTTAGGAATGAATGGAGAAGATTTCCACAGTATTGTGAAAACTTCATTTCAGTAATCAGGGGAAAGAGAGAAAAAATAGATTAAGTGCCTAACGAGCTAGATATTTCTAAGCCAGAAATTAGGGGCGTACATGAGGGAAACGGTAATAGGGAAGAGGGTGGGATCAGAGCAGATGACCAGGGATAAGGTTAGCGGTAAACTTTATTACTGTGGTCACGAAAGCCGAGGTTATATAGGGCAATGGAGTGGAGGTAACGATCCCACTCATCGATGTAGCGGGACAGGTATTGGCGAGTTTTAAAGCGCAAAGCTATAACAAGATCTTCTATGGAACCGGGTGAGGTACCTATGAGCGAGTGTCAAAAGGTACTTGTCAATGCGAGTGATCTTGGCATTATCGTAAAGGATAGAGATGAAGAAGTGCTTGCCGTCAGGCTTGCGGTTATAGTTGGTGCAATCCCGAAGAAGTTTTCGCTCAAACAGGCGGATTCTTTCCATTTTGGCTTACTTATTTGGACCTGGCAGAATATACTCGGAAGCACTAGGAAAAAATGTAACCATCCATCAAACGGAAATATACGCAATTGATAAATGCGCCAGTTTCAACTTGAACGCAACTATCAGAACTGTAGAATGGTAATACTGACTAACAGACAGGCAGCTATAATATCCAAACTGATATGAAGTGTATTGACAAGCTGAACATAGTTGGTTGGAACAATCACGTGCACTTAATATGGATTTCGGGGCATGCTGAAATCCAAGGCAATGAAATGGCAGATAAACTCACAAGAGGCGCGGCTTCAATAATGATAGGCCTAAAATCTTTCTGCAGTCTAGACAAAGGAACTGTGTCCTTTCTTACGAACGGCTTAGAAGAAAACAAAATATAACTCTATTGGGAAGAGCCATTAAGACTATCACAATCTAAAATGCTTCTAGGGATTTACAAAATACAACGCTTCAAGGATTGCATAGAACAAACAAAGAATAACTTAGCAATTATTACAGGATTAGTAACCGGTCACTGTAGAATGAATAATCACCTAACAAAGTTAGGAATCCAATCCAACTCAGACTGCAGAAGAAGAGAAAAAAGAGAAAGAAACCGCATACCATATACGAGGGGGTTTCGCAGCACTGATGCACAAGCAGAAAAAACACCTAGGAGAGTGTTTCATGGAACATAGGAATTCAAAACTAGGCTCTATACTGTCTTTCATTGAAGAAATCGGACTTGAAGAAACACTCTAATCCGACTATTATTACATAATAGATTTTTTAAGTTGCAGTGTGTTATCCCCTTTCTATAATAATAATACTTATTTGGTCATAATAACCCGTTACTTGATCATAGACCGAAGTTTCTGGATGTTAATTCTCTGAATTATATCAATATTGTGATAAAGCTCGTACATCTCGTGCGATATTATTTACAGTATCGACATATGTATTTAAAAATTGACAGAATCATACACTACAAAAAAATAACTATGGCGCCGGCCATAAATCACAAATCACCACCATTGTTTTTTTTTTATGTGTCTTAATGCTAGACAAAAACGTTTAATTTCTACAACTAGTATATTAATATATAATTTAGAAGAGCGGAAGCTTTAATCTGTTGATCGCTATATATGGATATTGGCATCTATTCATACGCCAATTTTATAACAACATTACCAAACATAGCAAAATTACGATGAAGATCACAATTTCGAATACAAAATGGTGAATAGTTCACAATACTTTATTTTAAAATAATTGAGTTGCATCAACGCAAGTTTTACTGGCACGTTCCCACATTAGTATACCATACGTTCATATTGATTTTATGATTTAATTTTTTCAATACATGATTAAAAAAGCATCACATTAAAGATTTTTTTTAATAGCCGTAATTTTTTACTTCAAAATTCCAGCAGCTATTAAAATCATATAAGTATTTTTTACTAATAAATTCAAATGTATAAATAAATTAATTAATTTAGAAATATATAAGATAAAAATGTTTACCATTGCCATTCTAATATTCATTTTATTTTATTTTATTTAAATTAATTAATTTTTAGTGTTTATAAATGTTATATATCATATTATAAACAACACAATCAAAAACATATGTCAAAAAAAAGTATTCAACACATTTTAAAAGTGATGCCAACTTTTTTTAACTTAAGCTAATGTGGTTTTTTTACAACTCTGTGAAGAAAAATTACGGCTAATATTACGAATTAATTAATACTTTGTTTTTTCCCGGGCATCAGATTTTTTTTACAAATTTTACGTGATATTGAAATAATAAAACACTTAGTTTAATTTTAAATACAAATAAAACCATTTATATACGTGTACAAAAATTAAAATTTTTTTCAAAAATTTCATAAATTTGAAAATTGAGAAAAAAGAATAATTTCAGTGTTTTATTTTAAAATGTTCAACATTTTTACCATTTTTTTTAATTATGTATTCATTTTACTTTTCAATTTATAAGAATTATTTATTTATTTATTATGTACACATATGCAAGATTAATTTCCTAATTTTAATATTATTGAAACTTTTAAAATAAACGACCTTAAGTCTAAAAAAAAAACATATATATGCATTATGAAAAAAAAATGTTTAAAACTTTAGTTCAATGAATAAGTTCATTTCATATTAAATGATAGCAATTTGGCAGATGAGATATACTTGAATAAAATCAAAATAAAATATCCCGCAGTTGTATATTCACTTCAAATGAGGTTCCATCAAAAGTGTTGTAATATAAACGAGCCACATATCGATGTTTGCTGATACACAGCTATTTATATATATGTTATGACAATGTTTTATATTGTCTAATTACTAGCTTTGTTTTTATTTTATGTAATATAATATTATCTTAATAATAATATTATAATAAATAATAATAGAACGTTTATTAAACATAGTCAATTATTTGATGTATATTGTAAAATTTACTTAAATGCAGCACAATAACTATGTATATCAATACATTTACTAAATCGGTTTTTAATAAAAACTTTTTTTCGTAGTGCTATTTTAATATTTCACAATACATATACATTTTATTTCTTGATTTCTTAGATTCCTTTATTTATGACACGCTGGAAAACATATTTCCAATGAAACAGTTTATTTAAGCCAATAACTTTTTTATCTACAAACACATGTTTATTAAACTTAAAAAAAATTTTTAAAGTTAAACTATATTTAAAATTGTTTGCTTTCTCTGGTACGCGTAGTTTTATAAAAGTTATTTTATTAATTGGTTATTTAAGGGTTTATTAATTTTTTAAATTGCTGACAAATTCGAAAGATCGTTTCTGTCTGCCATTCCTTATGGCTGGTATGCATCTACAAATTGGGACAAACAATATTTAAGATTAATATAGAATATTTAAACTTATAATTATTTTGTAATGATATATAAAAATATACTTTTCTAAAAGCAAGAAAAAGTTGCTAATCTTATAACTTTAATTGCGTTTTTTATTAAGTAAAAATAACTTTTGAAATAAAAATAAATTGAGTTTATGAGAGTGAGTAATGAGAGTAATGTCAACAAACTCGGTAAACAAAAACGGTAAACTCTTTTGTTTGTTGACGGGCATAGTTTAAAATTTTTTCTGGCGGTATATATTAACTTTTTAATAAAATGGAAAACGAAGGCATGTATTTTGTTAAATATTTTGAATAAATTATTTTTTGTTGAAATTGAATTATAATTAAATATTTGTTAACATTATATCGAATTATAGAATAAATTTGGTGTAAAGTTAGGAAGAAAATGTTTGTCAACGAAGCACACACTACTTCAAAAACACTTTAACCAGATAAATTTACCATCTGCTATAGATCATCTAATAAGAATAATCTCAGCCTGGAGATTAGAAGAAGAATTACCATTGCTAATTGGTGCTACAATGTGTTCAGTACGAAATTGGTGTGTGAAGCTTTCTCTCTCTTTCTCAACCAATAAAACTTAGGGTTTATAAGTCACTGATCCAATACTGAAGCCATACTGAAAATGCTTGAAAAAAAGTTTTTCGTAAGATCTTTAGTGCTCTACGAGTTGACGACGACTATTACAGTCATATAAACCGCGAACTGTTCTAGCTTTACCACGACATTGACATCATTCACTGAATTAACATCTAGTGGTGCTGGCTAAGTCATTTCTTGAGAAAGGATTACCTTACTCCAGTGAAAAAGGTGTTTAAAGTGATAGTTATGGAACAAGGTGTAGGGAAATATCATATCTCTTTGAGATCAATTTGGGGGAGCACTACCGACGCTTGATGTATGGGACTGGCAAAGGTGTACATGCAGCATAGGTGCCTTAAGAGGAGTGTTATACATAATGAATTTTTATCAGATTTCGCAAAAAACAAACCCATTTTGCATTTTGTTTTGTTTTACTATACAATGAGTTTAAAAGTTAAAGTAAATACAAGACCTAACTTTTCTTAAGCAACAATTGCTTATCCGCTTTGAATAAACTGGAGTTTAAACATACTATTAAGGCGTTTACACAATATTTAAAAGCAATATTTCTTACTCAAGAAATATTTCTTACTTACTTATGTTAAACTGCTTTTAGCATGCTAAAAATATTTTTAATTGAATTTTTGTGAAAATGTTTACATTTTTTAAATGTTTAAAATAACGTTTAAGACTCGTATAAACGTGATGAATATTATAAGATTTCTATAATCATATTACATATAATAATATTTTATTCTCACAATATTTTAGATTTTCGTATTGGAAGAGTTTTAACTGCTTATAAATCAACTTTTTCTATTTATCGCACAGTAATATAAAAGAAGAAATCAGAAGCAATTTGAATTAAGACAAAATATTATTTTTTAATGAATTGAACTTTTTGTTAACCAAAAAACTGTTTCATGTATTGCCAAGTAGGCACCATCAGTGGTTTTTTGTTTGACATATGTATATTATATATTAACTATATTAACTTAACTTGTTTATTAATTTGCAGAATTTATTGAATAAAATTAATGGCTAATTGTAGATTTACTCATTTATATTTCATTTACAACTTGTGTGATTTTGTTTGATAACCGCAATAATTTGTTTACATTTTAATTTCTGTGCATTTAAAATTAAATAGTTACACTAAGCCAATTAAATTAGTGAATAACAAAGGAGAACGAATAAAAATGTGATATATTATAAAAAAGTCAAAGTGCTATTTAGTTGAAGTATAATACGCCATTGATTTTTGGAGTAGTAGTTGTATTAATATCTATCCCTAAAAACGTGTATCTACCATTTCACACTAGATGGCAAGATTTTGTATAAACGAAAACGCATATATCCATAGATAATAGGATAGTGCTGCCAATTTATTTATATTTTTCCTTACTTCCTCTCAGTTTATTTTATTTCTAGAAAAATATTTGCTAGTGCTGTCAAAAAATTCTTTTTAAATGCACTGGGAGAAATATTTATATGCGTTTTAATTTAAACAATGTCAAAGTTTTTATAAATTACAATATTTAGAAGATTTTTTAAACATTTGATTTTTTTTTAATTAAATTAATTAAAAAGTCAAATTATATTAATAATTAAAATATATAAAAATATTTCTGGTAACTATTTGCTGTGTATGCATTTTTTACGATGTTTACCCTTACAGTTGTCAAATCTCACTAACAACACGAGTGAACCACAAAAAAAAAAAATGATGCCACACATTTGCTAAAAAATATAAAATTAAGATATATAAGCATAATAAATTTTTTTGATGAATTTATTAAGGGAATGGAAAAATGGATACAAATTCTTTGCTATTATTCGTTTTGGCAATCACAATTATGAATTAATTCTTTAGTTTCACTTTGTTATATACATGATATATGAATAACAAAAAAACGAACCATGATTGTTAATATTTTGTAACCATAAGACTAAATGAATAATAGTATGAAAATGCTAGATAACGTAATATAATATATATAACAATATGTATGCATATTAAAATTTATATATATTTGTATATTTCTTTGACATGAATGCTCCAATAAAACACGTACCGCCTAAAAATTAATATGCAAAGTAAAAAGAATATTAGGTCTGGTTAAACCAAGTTGGCATCATTTTTAAAATGAGTTGAATGCTTTTTTGTTGACTCTTTTTGGTTGTGTTGTATATAATATGATATATAAGAATTGTAAATGCTAAAAACAAATTAGTTTAAATAAAAAACAAAATAAATATTAGAAGAACAATAGTAAGCATTTTTATTTTATATATTTAAATTGATTAATTTATTTATACATTTGAATTTATTAGTAAATAAAATACGTATATGATTTTAACGGATGACTGTAATTTTGAAACCTATTTCCAGTGAAAATTCACAATAGACTGATTTTAGAATTTGGCTACACTAAAACTTAAAACGTAAAAACATTGAAGATTGTAAGAGAAATGTTGTTGCTTCACATGTTTTTTTTGCAAGTTGCGAGTATTTTTTTTTGATACTTTGATAGAAAAAATTACAGCTATTGATGTTACCATTTAGTTGTGTATTGTTTGTTAGTTTCAATTAAGTGGCATCACCACGCTGCAGCCGTCATGTTTGGCAGCCGCAGCTTGGTTGAAAAGGCACAGCATTTTATGTAGATTTTGTTTAAACGAATGTAAAAATATTAAGGAAGTTAATATAAGTAAATATTTATTAAGAGAATATTATTTTCTAGTGCTCAAATATAAGTTCTGGCTATTTTTGAGTATGGCGGAATATTTAGCTTCGATTTTTGGCACTGAAAAAGATAAGTAAGTGCGAAAGGTTTATTTTTGTTTTTGCATAAATAAATATTCTTATATTTTACAGAGTAAATTGTTCGTTTTATTTTAAAATCGGCGCTTGCAGGCATGGCGATCGATGTTCACGAATACACAATAAACCAACATTTTCACAAACCGTGTTGTTACAAAATCTCTACGTCAATCCACAAAATTCCGCGAAATCAGCAGATGGTTCTCATTTGGTGGCTAATGTTTCCGATGAAGAAATGCAGGAGCACTATGATAATTTTTTTGAAGATGTTTTTGTTGAATGTGAAGACAAATATGGTGAAATTGAAGAAATGAATGTGTGCGACAATTTAGGAGATCATCTTGTTGGTAATGTATACATAAAATTTCGTAATGAGCAGGATGCCGAGAAGGCAGCGAATGATTTAAATAATCGTTGGTTTGGTGGACGTCCTGTTTATTCAGAACTATCGCCAGTTACTGACTTCCGTGAAGCTTGTTGCCGCCAATATGAAATGGGGGAATGCACACGATCAGGCTTTTGTAATTTCATGCATTTGAAACCAATTTCACGGGAGTTACGTCGGTACGTATAAATTTTGTTTATGCTTAAAAAATTATTTACATGATCTCGAATTTTTGCAGATATTTATACTCACGGCGCCGCCGTTCCCGGTCTCGTTCGCGATCTCCTCGTCGTCGACGTTCGCGTTCACGTGAGCGCCGTCGTTCACGTAGCCGTGACCGCGACAATCGAGAAGGTCGGGATGGACGTGGCGCACGTGAACGTCGTGATGGATCGAGCGAACGAAAAGGACGCTACTAGGTACAATTTTTTTGAAGGCAGTAGGAAAATACTGCCTGCAACTGAAACTAAGCTAGCGTTTTGTCAGATGAGTAGAAGTTGAAATTGGAAATGATCCTTCTTCAACTTTGTTAACATAAATTAAAAAAATTATTTTCATTGCAGCATATATATTTCACGAACACATTTTATAAAAATATAAATTAAGCTATAATGACAGTTCAAAACCGTAAGAAATTATTAAGACAACAAAGAAAAGTACTAAAAAGTTTAGAAATTCACTATTTTAAATAAAAATGTAAATTATGTGTTTAAATAAAAATATTACTGTATGTTTCTCATCAAAACTATGTTAAACAAGATTGCGAATACAGCAACTATCGTGCGAATTGTATTTTTTTGCTACATGGTTTATTCCCGTTTGTTAAATCAATTTGCTTTGAGCACATTTAAAGTTGTTTTTTTTTTCGGGATAATTTTGTTGGCAGATGGAAGAGGTTAGGCTAATTTCAAGTCTTTGTATAATATTTTTTATTTGCTGATTTTTTTTGCACACGACATATTTGATTTCGCACCCAGCGCGATTTTCAACTGTATTATTAGTGTCATCAAGGTGCGTGCAGCAAATTGTTCTGAACTTACGCTTTCTCCCAGTGTTTGTCATCTTCAATTTGACGTTTTCTTTGATGTGGTTGGACTTCTTTTAAGACTTCTACATTCTCTTTATGTACATTGACTTTGTTTGGCTCTTTAAGTATTTCTGCGTTTTCATTTTGAATGTGGGTATCTTTATCTAAGGGCGATTGTGCCTCTTTTAGTTGCTTTGTTAGATCAATTTGTTTTTGTAATAAATAAGTGTTTTCAAGTTTTCGACGTTGCTGTCGTTCAATATCACGAATTACACCTTCATGCAGTTTATCACTAAAAAAAAATTCTCAAAAAAGTTTTCTTTATTAAAAATTGTGTAAAACTACCGGTCGGTGGTTTGCTTGTAATGAACATAACCTATAATCGCAGTTGTGGTGGTAAGAGCTGCTCCCAAGGTGATTTTAGACGCAAAAGACATTTTTGTAGTTTTTATGTAATATCAATTGATTTCAAATATTTAAAAAAACCTTTAAGAAGTTACGTATTCATTTGTTACTTTCCGCAAATATGTCTGCTTCAACAATAAACAATTTTATAAAGAATAGCTTTCATAATAAAAATCAGCTGTTTTTACTGTTTGAAAGTCATTGGACACAATGTATTATGCATTGCATTTTTGCATTGAATTGTTTACTAATAAATTATAATTTCATTAATATTATTGCTGTACTTTCAAAAAATTAAGTAACAAAAAAATATTCATTTTAGGAAGTTATTGATTCAGCACAATTATTTCAATCATTTAATTATTTCTATCATGAACAGTTGACCGAAATCCTTTAAACGATTCACTAATTTCATTGCATGGGAGTTTCATCTGCAGAAATTATTTTTTGGTATTTAGCAGTTACCAAATTTTACTTAAATTATCATATTTCTGCAAAAAGATTCTGTTGCATCTGTTCTGTACCATCTTATACAGTAATATACAATATAAGTTTGACTATCGATAAACCTCTGTTTAAAAGTTTAGAGAAATCAAAAGACGAGTGTACTTCTTAAGAGCGTAAACATTTACTTATAAGGCAGTGGTGCAAATATTTAACCCTAGAGAGTTCCTGATAATTGAGAGTAATATATAATATAAGTTTGACTATCTATAAACCGGATTAAAAATTAAGAGAAGTCTAAAGACGAGTGTACTTCTTAAGAGCGAAAACCTCTACTTATAAGGCAGTGGTGCAAACATTTAGCCCTAGAGAGTTCCTGATAATTGAGCCAATAAATCTGCACTACTTTCCTATCCAAATGTGTGCAACATTATATAGAGTGGTATTATATTTAACAGCTATATGCGTTCTATGTAGTATAACAAATTTTGGTATACTCTAGAATTTGTTCCAATTTTAATTTAAAACTTGTTTATTTTTAATCAAGTTTAATTAAGATTTAAAAGTTGCATCAATATTGTTTAGCAAATGTTTATCAAAAATCAATCAAATATTTTATTTTATTTTGGTTACAGATTATATGTTCCAAATTAAACTATATAATTGAACGTTAGGAAGGCCAAGGTTCACAGGTGGACTGTAGTGTCAAATAAGAAGAAGATCTTGAACGTCTTATCTTTATTATAATCTCTGCACAAGACGTAGCTTAAACTTTTGATTCTTTTATATATTCAGTAGCGATCGTCATCTTGAATCTGTGTTCAGTTCAATAACATTTCTATAATTAGCTTTCCTTTGTGTTTTTCATTTTGTTCCTTTAAGTTTCCAATAATATTCACTATTTTTCTCAAGTTTGTTGTTTTTGTCTTACAGTCTAGATATGTAGTAACTTTAACGTAACATTATTTTCTTACTTCTTGACTAACAATGTTTTTTAATATTTCCTAACAATTTCCCCTTGATGTGCACTTCAAATAATTATATAGTCAAACTTTTATAATTTGAAATATCATTTTGCAAAGGCAAGGTTCGACTTACGGAGATTTCGATTTGAAGAATTTTCTTGTAATTGCATGTAAACCCTTTCTGTTGCCCTCTATTTAGTTCGAGTTTTACAAAATACGAGATATGTAAATTTGACTGTAATTATATTTATTACTTCCCCGCCCCTTTGCCGAAGACTTCTTATATCACTGCTAAGGAAACAGTGCCTTATAGAAGTGAAAGTTTTAAAATATTTCGAACTATATATGATAGATTTTTTTTTTTAAATAACTTTTTTCATATACATACGTATGAACTTTAAGTAAAATTTCAAAAGCCTTCCCTTAAATGAGTCTCTCTAGTCGCTCAAAGCTAGGAAGTACTTGACTTGAAGACATTTCCCAGATATCGGCTTGGCAATTATTTGGATCTCAGATTTGTACGATGCGCTTTGAAGAATTTATTTACTACTGGGAAGTTAATTTCTTTCTGTTGGCTTATTTTATAAAAATTAAGTGTTTTTGTTGATCTTATTATTTATTGAGGTTTTTTTTTAATAAGTTTAGTAAATTATTTATTACATCAATTATTTAATATGTCAAAGTTATTCTATTTCAATTTACATATATATATATATATAAGTCAAAATGCAAAATATAATGTACATATGAATATTAAAGTAAAAGTTAAAGAAACACACCCAACACAATCATCGAAATTGAGATACATATAATGATATAATGGAACTATTATTTTACCAATTAAGTTATTAACTGTTGTTCCCCAAAACAAAACTTTATGATTTCAAACATAATTATTTACAATCATGTTAAAATATTTATTTCATTAAGCAATGTATTTTTTTTGATATGTAAATTACCTATGAGACAGTTTTAAAATAAGTGATACATATATGTATATTAATATACATATAATTATATGTGTTGAAATGTATATTAGTTCCACAGTTATTATAATTCTAGTGGGTCATAGGTAAATATTAATTGCCTATTTGCCTTGCAATGTCTGCCTTCTGAACAATCTGTTGGTCTGATGATGATGATATTTATTATGTTTCGTCATTTAATAATTATACTAATATTTTGTGCATTCATAGGTATATATATATAATATATTATATATATTATTAATATAAAATATTATATTATATATATATAAATATATTATATATTATAATAAATATATATATATATATATATATATATATATATTCGTTTATAATGGAAAAAATTTATTAAAACAGAAAATTTTCGTATATATAGAGATATAGGTGTGTGTGTTTGCGCAAAATAAACTTGGTTCTTATCAAAAAGTAAGCAATATAAGTAAAATATTTGCAACAGCCCGCAAAAATAGATTTTTAAAGTAAGATAATATTGCTCAAAGCTTTACGTCAACTTGATTAATTTGTTTCTGTTTATTACTCTTAGTAATTATTTGAAAGAAATAAGATTACACACTATAGGCATGTTATTTTGTTTGGAATAATGAAATAAACAACATTTGTTGTTTGTTGCAATGAAACCAGCTTCAAAAATATTTCATATTAAGTAAATAAAAGCAACAGGATAAAAGTCAAGTGCATAAATAAGTACAAAAGTAATTTTGTAACCTGACTTACATTATCCTAAATATAACTAAAATAATAAAAAAAAAATTATGTAGTATCTTCCCTTGTGGGCCAAATATATTATTAAAACACCTATCAAAAATTGTATACGAACTAAGCAGACTGAGCTCATGGGTTTGTCCTAGAATACCCTTGACTGGTTCCCAAATTTTCAACAATGCCAACAATAATGTAGTCATGCGCATATAAGCAAAGTTTATTTTAATTAGCGAGAGAAAATTTCATTCGGTAAACACGACTTTGCAACATACCCTACTTTCCATACCAATTTAATTATATATTAAGACTGGCATATTCTTATGTACGACTACACATATAGTATTAAAAACAAGTCATTTTTAAATACATATATTAAATATTTATCAATTTTCTTAGTGGCTATAATTTATACTTTAAACATTATTAAGTTTAAATAGTTATATGCTTTATTCTAAAATTTAGTAATAAATTATAATTTATTCGTGACACTGTCCTTTAACCATCTGAATAATTGTATATTTTCGTTATAGTATTGTGTTCTTTTTTGTCAAATTTTCATTATTAATTTTTTACCATGAACAGAACACGACACACATTGACACATTGTAGTTTAGTTATAATTTACATTTATTGATTATTTATATTTTAAGCATAAGTTCTTTAGGTTTGGTTAAGTATAAACCTTGACCTCAACACTCATACTATCTTTCAAGTTTTAGACATTATGTAGATATTACTACTTCAAACTATTCAAGCATTACGATATTCGGGAAGTTTGAATATGCTAGAATACGTACATTCAAGAGAGTTCAAATGTTCGAAAATTTACGTGATATATAAAGATATTACTATATTATTTGAAAGCAAATGTGTTTTATGTTAGAATTTGTTGCTGTATTGTTTTATATAAATACATAGGACAGTAAAAAATGTACGAGCATAATATGAATACTCAATGTTCGAATATATTGAACAGAATCATATTCTAACATCAAAATATTGAAAAGTACAAATAGTTTGAATAATTTTGTTAAAGCGTGTAGGTTGAGCAAAATTATGGATATTAAACGAAATTGAAGACCGCCATTCCAATCTAATCTAATAAGGATTGAAAGTAATTGGAGTGTTGTGAAAAACTAGGAGAAATATTATTTCCATATAACGTTTTTAATTTTTAGTATGTCAAATATTTATGATATCTAGAACTTCTGCAGTAATGAAGTAAACCATGCCTATTTTATTTGTCATTTAAAAATTATTAATAGTTTCTAGTAGACTTAGTAAAGTTTATCTAATAAATGAAATTTGTTTCTTGATATAATAATAACTCTTTAGAAATTGTTATACAAATTTTTCCAATACCAACAAACTTCCTTTCGAAAACAATTAATCAAGATTTTGGAAAAAAGAAATTTGCATATTACCCATTTACAACTGCTAGTAATATTAATTCAGGTAAGTGGTATAAAATCTATACTTGACATCTATTAATGTCATTGAAGACAAATATGGTATATAGATATGTGGTTAAAAAAAAAATTAACTAATTGTTGGTGGTCCATTTTTTATATTCACCAAGATATAAGACGGCAAAGAAAGGCAAGATAAAAAAAAACTATCAGTTATAAAGTACTTAACGCCTTACCTTAAAGACGTGCTATTCATATGGCTTGGCCCTTTTTTAGATTTTAAGTCTAATAACAAACAAGTATCTTTTAACTCGATATCTAACATCTCTTGATATTGCAGTACAAAAGATCAATCATGGTCACAATGCTCCGCTCCGTTGGGAGCTGGTAATAATAAATATATTTCAGAAAGGCGAAGGACCTAGCAGTCCGGTTCCTTATTCTTAGTTAACTTTAATATTAACTAAATAAAATAAAAAAATAAATAATAAATAAATAAATAAAAAATTTTTCTGAGTTAATACGACGACTATAATAATAATTATAGATGAAAAGTTGTTTAGTTAACATTAAAATTAATTTTAAAGTTAAGTAAGAATAAGGAACGGGACTGTTAGATTCTACGC